AGGCGGCGGGGGCGAGGGCCAAGCAGCAGGTACCGAAGGAGGAGACTGCGGTTCGCCGGCCCAGACGGAGCCTCAGCAAGTCTCCTGCTCCATTCATAACGAGCAAATGCGCCGCAGCCGGCGCTGGCGTGATGGAGACGGGCCAAGAAAGGGCTGGTGGAGGCTGGGGGGCTGGGGTAGTCGTAAAGAGAACACCCAGCCAGACAGAGCTGATAAGCCTCCTAGGCCAAGAAATGAGGAGGAGGAGGCGGCGGGGGGAGGAGGAGGAGGAGGAGGATGTGAAAATCTGGACTGTAGCCCTCCCAGCCCCAGATACCGCATTGGCCTGTCTAAGAAATCCCCTACAGTATTGTTGCTGCCGCCACCGCTCACGGACGTGGACAGCAGTAAAATCACTGACCCTCCAGGCACCATTAGGAAAACGACCAATAATCATATTCTCAGCGGTGCTGCTGGTAGCTATAATGTTGAATCCAGGATCTGTTCAGCTACTAATAGCCTTCCCCCGGGTGGAACCACCTCCTCCCTGAAACTCAACCACTCCAATCATACGGGTTCAAATCATACCTACCTGAAAAACACCTACAAGAAGAATCTATCAGAGCCCGAGGAGGAGCTTCTCCAACAGTTCAAAAGAGAGGAGGTATCCACCACTGGAGGCTTCAGTGCACATTACCTGTCCATGTTCCTCTTAACTGCTGCATGCTTGTTCTTTCTGATACTGGGATTCACATACCTGAGAATGAGAGGTTCTGGAGTAGCTGAGGATGTGGGAGCCAACAGTAAGTATTAGGTGAAGGGTAAGAGCAGTTTCTTTCTGCAACTGGATATACAACTGTTAATTCCCCTTTGCATTCCCAGACACCCCTTACTGAGCAGTTCTGGTTCCACCTTAGTATAATCTTTCTATGTAGAAAAGGAGACTTTCTTTCCTTAAGTATGTACCTTGCAAGCTTGCATTAAGCTTGCAAGACGTTTGAGGTTAAACTCAAATCCTGGCATTCCCTGCTATAATCTGTTGACACCTTGTTCTCTAGCATGTTTTCTTCCCAAAGCAATTTTGTGTGTTTGGTTCATTATAGCAGTTGTATGGTTAATATAGAATTGACGAGGTGTAAGGCTCTGTGCTCATCTCACGGAAGTAATTGTGCACATTTAGATCCCTGGGATTCCTGCAGGGCTAAGATTTGACTGTAGTTGTTTGCTAATAAAGCAGGTTGTTTTCATTTTTGTGTGCTGAGGCTTGAAAAGGATGCTAAGTTGAGATGATGTTACACTACAACTTTGTGCAGTGAATGCTGGACCTATTGTGTGTTGTTTTCTAATAAGTACTTTTTTCTAAATTTAGTTGAGAGTATGTTTATACATGCAATACTGTTGTGCTTTAGTTTGAATTTCAGAGCATTCTTTTTTTAATCCTGAATACTTGGGAGCTTCTTTAATATGTGAAAGTAGCTTCTTGGAATGGATTTAGAAACTACCGTTTTCTATTCACAAAGCATACGAAAATGGAAATGTGCCACCTAAGGGTGGTGATTCATGCTAATTCCATTTTTGGCTGCTGTGAAATAGACAGTCTAGATTCTAGCATCAGAAAGAAAAATCATGCCACTGCTGTCTTAATTTCTCATCAGGAGCAATGCAAAATTATGCAAAAAGCTAGTTTTGGGATGCGAGAGCATTAGAAGGTCCTTGGAGACTTGCCTTTTTCTTGAAATGACTGGGGAAGGTGTGTGGGGTGCATGCACGTGCATATATTTCTTTGTATAGATAGTAGAGGCCTTACAACTCATGTGTGGGCATGTATACAGTGCCTTGTAAGGAGTGATCCCACTGTTAGACTGGGATCTGCTCAATGCTACAGGGCAGAAATATCAGTGTGGGCTGTTTTTTTTCTCTCTTCCCCCCCCTTCCGAATGTTACTCATTATATTATGGTAGCAGAATAGTTCTTAATTCTGTTTTTTGCTCTTTCAGGAGGGGAGTAAAGGATTTAATGTTTAGGAAGGACAGTAGCAGCAATGACTTAAGCATTTGCGATGGTTTCACTGCTGTCCACGTGGCTCTTAACTACTGTTCAGTCTTTTTTTTTTTTTGGGGGGAAGGCAGTGAACATACGCAGGTGGGCTAAAATTAGATACAGTATAGTATGACTGTTGGGACTACTCATACTCATATTCTGTGGTTAACTTCTGGCCGTAACTGCTAGAGACGTACATAAATTTTCTTATGTACTGATAGGCTGTGTAATTCTATTAACGTGTATTTAATTTTTTTCTAGTCTTGAAAAACAATGAATTTAATAGGGAAGAAGGTCTGTCAGCCTACTGGGGTAAACTTTCTGACTGTCAAATTCAGTGGTTGAGTTAAAACTTGCCTGCCATGCTGATTGATAAAACTGAGTATCTCAGCTATGCAGTTAGCAGTAATACTGTGAGAAGAAATCCACTCAGAACTACTTGTCTTGGAAGAAAACTTTGTTTTGAATGTGTGAACTTTCCTGTACAGCATGTGGAATCACATGTGTTTGGGTATATTGCTCTTAAAAAGTTAACCCAGCTGGAACTGATACACAGGGAAAATTGTTCTCCTCTGCCCTTTTGCTTAGGTTAGGCTGCCCAGCCAATGGTCTGGTAGCCCAGTGTTGCTTGCTAGTTCAATTAAGCCAGTTCTTGGCCTGTTCCTATTTGTTCTCTTTTCAGTGGAACTCCTGAAAGTGGATTTCTTGAAGAATTGTTCTGGCAGTGGCACTCACATTTCACCTGTCCTCCTTCCTCACAGCCCTGGGCTTTGTAGCACAACAAATGGGACCAGGGGGAGCAGGACCCATTGGAAGAAGCAAGCAGAGAGTTTCGTGGCTAGCTCCTTTGATAGGAAGAGGAGCAGGCTGCTGCTTTTAAGTAATGTGGGAATGAGTGTGGAATTACCTTGCCCATATGCTCAGCACATGCTCACTAAATTCTTTCTTCTCAAATGGGCATATGCAATGAAAATATGATAGGTCTGTAGAACAGGCAAGGACAGACAAGACAGGCCAATAAAGGCTGATTGCTACTGGGAAGGGAAAGATCCCTGTCGTCTATTAGATGCTTCCCTAAGCTTAAACGTCGTCTGAGTGAGTCCTTTGGCTCTTACGCTTGTATGAGTGCATTGTCTGTTTTCTTTATAGAAGCAGAAGTGATTCATACGCTGTTATTTTTTTTTAATAAAAACGTATCTTAAGAAACAACCTTTCAGTTAGGTGATTGGATACTGAGTTTTTTCTGTCTTTTAGATGGCTGTAGGTAAGATTCTCTTGGCTGGGAGTGATTTGGTTGTGAAAAACTCAGTTGTTTTCAACTTCAGACTATATCATAAAAGGTTTTAGGATTCAGTGGAGTTGCACTATACCCATGTCCATAATTACCATAGTTACTGTGAGAAAACAAAAAGCAGTTATTTATCTATTTGGGTGGCTTCTTATTTTAACTTTGCAGGGAATGATGCACAATGAGGTTAATGTTGGTTGTCTTAATTGTTCATTACCTAAAATGGCATTCAGTCAAACTAAAGTGATATTGTGTGTGTGACATTGAAAAGTATTTATCAATAAGTACACCAAATATCAGCACTTACAATATTTGTCAGGCCGTAATCTGAGAACAGAGAAGCTGCATGTGATGAGGGAGGCTTAAAACTAGGTGTTGGGGTTGAATATAGGCCAGGTAAAACAGCATAGATGAGAAGTGGTAAGCAGAAGACTTCAGAAGAGGATTGTCACTTATATCACGTGTAGTGTTCAAATGATTTCTTATTCAGAGCTCTGAAATAGCTATGAAGTGCTTTAGTTTTTCCATGTGTGCAGCACAAAATGTTCAGAGACAAATCAAAATTGGGCTAATTCTTCCATGTCTAACCTATATATGGTCACTTGAGGTAAGGTTTTTATGCATTTAGCTGTCTAAAATGCAGATAAGTATCTATGTGGCTTTTCCTTAAAGCATCTTAAACCGTTGAAATTAAACTACTCTTTAAGCTTACATAAAAGACCAACTGATCCATAAGCGCATATTGTGCTTGCTATCTCTGACAGTGTTGTATGTGAAAAGAAAGATCAGTTTGGACTTGGTGCTGATAGCCTCATTCATGTTGCTCTTGCTGTAAAGCATGTTTTGCTTGCACCTGCCTTCAAAATACCGTGGAATTGTATCAACTTCTTGCCGTGCTAGCATAGAATTTTGTCAGGAAAATGGTAGATTTGACTTTTGTCTTCCTAGGGCTCTTCAGACACTGAAGAGCTGGGTATCTCTTTCAACTTTGGTTTTGTTTTGTGATGTTACTCTGAGCATCTCAAGTGGCTGCTCCTGGAAGTTAGTTCGAAAGTTATTTTTCATGGAAAGTTGATAATGATATCAGATTAGTAGCTGTTGCTTTCAAGTCTGATTTGCTTTCTCAAAGGTGAGGGCACTAGTACATGTGCTGTTTTAAGGGTGTAATCTGAAATAGGTTGCATTTAAGTTACTCTCACTGATTCTGCTCCAGTAACTTTGCCTGGGGACTGGTTAATACAAAAAAAAAAACCCCAACAACAAAAAAGTAATCTTGAAAATTTCAGGTAGGTCTTGTTTAAAATACTATGTTCTTATTAGGAGTGGCTTTTGAAAGTGACATCTCTTGCTAGTAATTTTGGTCTTTCTATGATACTTGTTACAAAACAACTGCTAGGAGGATAATCCTTACTATATTTGCTACAACTGTGTTTTTGAAATGTTAATTCAGGGAGGCTTAGCAGTTGTGTATATTGCAAGTGGAAGCTTATGCAAATCACAATTCTAAGAGTTTAATTCTATTCCATTGATGTTCCTTTGTTCTCAACTTCTAAATCTCTCAGGTGTTAAAACTTCTATGGAATTTTATGCAGGGAATTTTATTGTTAAGAAGTTAGACTTACTGTATAAAAGACAAGATGACTGTTATGCTCACAGGCCTGCAAATTACTATTAGAGTGCTGTGGTATTTCACAGATAACTGTTACAAATCTACTTGCCTTCTAAGATCACCATCTTGGAAGAGTCTGTCTTCTTGACAGTGTTGGTTTCAATGGAAGAAAATGAATTTTGGATAAGAAATATTTATAGAAGAGAAGATAGTAAAGGGAGGAAGCAGAATTAAAAGACTTGGAGAGTTCCTGTGTTGTGTGGCTATTAATGTTGCTTGTGCTTTGCAAATGATGCTCTGACTTGTGTTTGACAATATAGCAACTACTTCTGTTGACATATTAGTATATAGCTCTGTTTCACTTTCTGTATATTGCTTTAAACTCTAGTTAGCAAATATTTCTCTTCTAGGTGATACAAAAGAAAACCCTGATGTGCATCTTAAAGACTAATCTCTCTTGTAGCCAGTCTCACTTCTGTGGCTTGGTGAGTTTTGGATCAAGATCAGTAGATCAAAAAACCCCTAGGCTGCCTTCATAAGTTAAAACCAGGCAGAACAGTTAAATTTCCTTAGGATTTAACAAAAAAGCTTAGGAAAATAAATTAAGCAAGTACCTCGGTTTTTGTTGATGGAAGTGCTGTTCCAATGCTGTGGAGAAGCACAGAGTCCATTGTAATCATGAGGCGTGTATTCCTTACACCTTTGAAGTTCTTGTGGGTATCTGTATTCTCTGGCAGAATTAGTTGACTGTTAAGATTTGTGGTAGGTTGAGCGGAATAAGTTGACTCATTAAGGGATTGTGAAATCAAGGTATATTAAGAAGAAAAAGTGATTTTTCAGGGGACAGATTTTTCAGCACAGATCGA